ATTTCCCTTATTATCCATGGTGTGTCAAGTGGGCAAAGAATACATAATAGAAAAAATAGAAGATCTCTTTTATATGTTTTAATCCCTTACGCCTGAAACTAGACCACACCCTCTTTTTTTAAAAGTGCTCATAGAAAACATTCACAAAAAATAATTACATTTTGGATAATAAAGAAAATCATTGTAAATTCAAATAGAACCAATGCAGACAACGTTCTCTAATCACGGTGTGATGAAATTTGGAATTAAGAACAAAGCCAGAAAGGAAAAAAACCCTAAAACTAAAACTCCTAACACTTAAAAATTTAAACAACAACAACAAAAAAAAAAAAAACCTGTCTTAAATAATCCTGAGTCAAAGACGAAATGCAGTTTAAAAATGTAGAAAATAATTGTAATGAAAACACATCTATAGAAAACAGCTAAAGCAGTGCCCAGAAGTAAATTTGTGGGTTTAAATATTTATACCATTGAACAAGAAAGAGTGAATAATATGGATTAAACATCCAGCTCAAGAAGGCAGAAAAGCAAATAAACGTGAGTAAAGTGGAAGGTAGGAATTTGTAAAGATCTAGGCAGAAGTTAATAAGAAAGTGAAAAATGGTAGAAAAAATAATTAAACCCAAATGCCTGTTCTCTGAAATAAAACCAGTAAAACGTATGAATTATTCACAATTCTAGTTAAAAAAAAAAAAAAGAAAGAAAGCAGAAGCACCCAGAATAAGAAGTAAGGATGATTACCTTGGGGTTATTGATGGGGAGGGACACGAATGAGCTTTCTAGCGGAAAGGCTGAGGTTTCTACATCTTGATTTGGGTAGTGGTTACCCAAGAATGTTGCTGTTGGGCACCACTGAGTCAATTCTGACTCATAGCAATCCTGTAGGACAGAGTAGAACTACCCCGTAGGGTTTCCTAGGTTGTAATCTTTATGGGGGCAGATCGCTAGGTCTTTCTCCTGTGGAGCTGCTGGTGGGTTCAAACCACCAACCTTTTGGTTAGCAGCCGAGCACTTAACCAAAATGTCATGAAGCTATGCACTTAAGATTACTGTGTATCTATACTTAAGATTACTGGGTATCTATACTTCGATAATAAAATCAATAGAAACAAAAATTAAAAATTAAATACATTTAAAAAGAGTTATGAGACTATGTATCTCAACTCTTTTCAAATGAAACCCTCAGCCGAATGGATAATTTTCTAGGAATATATAATCTATCAATACCTACTTCAGAAGCGATAGAAACTTTGAGCAGACCACTTACTATAGAATAAGTAACATTGGCACAAAACCACCTATCTCGCCCTCTACCCACAGAAAGAAAGGATCAGAAAAGGCATCATGAAAAGGAGTCTGTTTCACAGGGAAATTCTATCAGATCTTCAGAATGCAGGCACTTTCAACACTGTATAAACAGCTCCAGAGCATGGGAAAAGGAGGAAAGCTTCAAGAATGTTCCTTGGAAGTGAGCATTACCAGACCTACAAAGATCACACACCTGTGTGTGTACACGCCCACATACACACACATACAGCAACTACAGTCATCCTTGCGAACTTCAAGGCTAAGTTATTAGGAAATGGAATTCCCCGACACATCAGAACACTCCCCTGCAGGTAAGGCTTGTTCCAGAACTGGGGTGTCGGTGCAAGTTTAGAATATTTTTTTATGTAATATCTTCTCCATATATAATTTTAAAAAGGTATTTGACACAATTCAACTTTCAGTCTTGCTTAAAAACCCTTAATAAAAATGAATATATGGATAATTTCTTAATGAAATAGACCTGTTTCAACCAAAAACTGATGTGCTGTATGTAAATAAGAAAATTCTAGATTCAGTTGCAGGGAAGTCACACACAAGGGTGCCAGTATTACCACTCTAATATTATTCCGGAGATGCAGGTTATTGAAATTAAGCACGAAGGAAGTACCAAAGGTATAAATAGTGGGGAAGAAGAGGAAAATGATAGTCCTTTTCAGATGCTATGCCTGTGTACCCAGAGAATCAGCTGAAGACCACTGCAGTCAATCAGGATTTAGTAAAGGGATGGGACCAAAATTAATATACGGAAAGTTTAAAAATCATGTATGTACCAGAACCACCAGTTAGAGATATAACAGCAGAAAGCACCCCATATACAGCAGCAAAAAAAAAAAAAAAAAAAAAAGACAAAAAGCTAAAATACCTAAGATTAAATGCCTGTAGGAAACGTGCAAGATCTGTGTGAAGAACTTAATGTGCTCTTGGGGGTCATGACAGAAGGCTCTAACAGACGGAAAGACATACTGAGTTCTTGAGGGGAGTCAGTATCCTAAAGAGGGTCATTCTCCCAAAGGTCATCTATAAATTTGACACAGTCCCTGTTTTTTTAAAAAAGCACCATTTCAATGTTTGGGTGGGATAGGGGTGCGGAGATAATGAATGCTAAAATTCTTGTGGAGTAATAAGCAAGTTCCCAGGAATCTTGACAACTAAGAGTGTTGGGAGGTGGGATGGAGACCTGTCCCGGAAGATCTTGAAACGCTGGCACTGGTGGCTGGACTCTGAAGTTGGCACAAGACTTGTCCATGTACCCTTTATATTCGGTCTCTTATCTTCCAGGCTACGTATCTCTCACGACCGAGCATCTCAGAGAACCTGGGAGGGACACGGTGCAGCTGGGCCCTGGGCAAGCCCATAATGAGGCAGAGAGCTCCCAAGGACCCTTCTGTCTTGCAGCTCTGCTCGTCTCTGCAGACCGCCCTCCCAGCTGCCCAGGCGCTCAGTGGCCGAGACAGCGTGTCTCTGTTCACGTCAGCCCAGGCTCAGCTCTCAGCCACTCTGCTTCCTCCAGGCGAGTGTTCTTGGCCCGAGGAGGTTCAAGCTCCTGATGCTGCCAGGAGGCTCCATGGTAGCGCCAAGGCTTGTTTACTTTTAGACCCCTGTCCCTTTGTACTTCCAGTTGTCTCTTAGAATCTGGTAGGGTTTATTGAGAATAGTTTTTAATGATTAATGACTTTCGTTGGAACAGAATTATTCAAGCATGTTTGCACTAAAGACTTCTTCTCCATTTGGCAACCGTCCCTGTGGCCAGTGCTCACAGCCCTGGGGGTGTGTCCCGATGTTGAATGGTGCTTGAGTGCACGTTCCGGGTGCTGTTGCTGCTGCAATGAGGCGGCTCCTTCAGGGGGAACCCTGTGAGTGGGCAGGTGGCCTCCAGCACAGCATGCTGACCACCAGTGAGCAACTGGCGGCGCCAGGCACTGCCCAGCCCGTGTGGAGGCCATGGAGTGTCACCAGAATGTAAAGTCAGGGTGAAGGATTGAACACTGCGTGTGTACAGCACACATACACACACCAACTACAGGCTAGTCACCCTAGCGAACTTCAAGGCTAAGTCGTTAGGAAATGGAATCTCCCAGCACATCAGAACACGCCTCTCCTGGTAGGGCTTATTCCAGGACTGGGGTGTCGGTGTGAGTTTAGGATATTATTTATATAATATATTTTCATATATGATTTATAAAAGGCATTTGACACAATCCAGCCCCTCTCTGCAAGGACCAGGAGAAGAACCCTGGGCCGGCAGGGTCAGTTCTGCACCCATACCTCCAGCTCTAGCCCCAGGAGCGGTCGGTTGGGAACTTGGCCTGCAGGTTTGGGTCTGCACCCCACATCCCCAGACCTTAACCTGCCCCCTTGGCACTCCTCTTATTTCTCCTTGAACAGATAGTTGCGGAGGGCCTGCTGTTGTCCAGGCCCAGGCAGATAGCAGACAGACAGACACATCTGCACTCCCGGGGATTGCAGCCCCGTGTGGGAGACAGACCAGGTCGTACTGGTGGGCAAAGAGACAGAGCTATAACCTGAAACAGGGTGAGGCCCATGGCCATGAGCACTCACTGGGTGCTCTGAGCGCTTGCACCTGGCTTGCAGAGTCTCTGGGGATGTGGGGTCTCGGGGGGGCTGTGGGTGTCAGGGGATCATGCGGTCTCGGGAGTCTCTGCTGAAACAGAGGAAGAGGGACCTGGAGTGACCGTGTGGCTGGAGTGCAGGGCTAGGTGTGTAGGGGGTGCTGGGCATGAGGGTCATGGCAGGACTGGGTGGGCCGGGGGGCCAGGTGTGAGGGTCATGGCGGAGCATGGCCGCAGCCCAGCATACCAGGAGGGGCTCCTATGACCAGCCACAGGGTGGCCAGTCTGATGGGCAGTACATGGCTTAGGCTGGGGGGCCGGTGGTGGACTAAAGATGTGGCCTCAGAAGGATATTGAGGTCCTGTGGGGACACAGAGTAGAGCGGGCTTGTGGGTGTAGCTGGAGTCCCACTCTGCAATAGCATTCCCCTGTGTGATCTCTGGGGCCTTGTTTCAAGAAGTGGGGTCCCCAGGGCTCCCCTACATGACTTCATGAGCTTCATTTTCAGAAGTGGAGTCCCTGGGACTCCCCACATGACCTTGTGAGCCTCATTTCAGAAGTGGGGTCCCCAGGGCTCCCTGCGTGACTTCGTGGACCTTGTTTTCAGCAGTGGGGTCCGAGGCTCTAAAGGAGAAGTCCCCTCCTGAAGTGGGTGAGCTGGCATGGCGCCGAGCCATCTCTCCCTGAAGCTAACCCTTCAGCCCGCCTCCCCATGCTGTCTCCACTCTCCTTTCCTTTATTGACATGCCTTGGGGCGTACAAGTGGGACTAGGGGTGGGGGGCTAGGGTAACCCGAGGGCTGGACTGGAGAGCGGCCAGAGCTCCATTTGAGCCTGCCACCCAACAGAGGTATAATTGTGCTCCTCCCAGGCGGGGGGCCGTGTGGGGGACCTTAGACTACAGGACCTCTTTAGTGTGTCTGTACCCAGGCTGGAGGGGCCCTTTCCGGCCATCAGGAGCCAGCGGGGCACTGCTTTGTGTCAGCTGGCCTCTGTGTCCCAGCCTGCGTCTGTGCCTTGGGCTTCATGACAGCAAACCACCCCCCCATCCCCCCGGACCGCCTGCATCTGAACTGACCCTCATCCTTGTGTCTTCTTGCAGCTGGAAATGGAGCTGAAGCTTCTGAAGTCTCAGGCAGATCCTACTGACCAGAGCTTCTTGTTCTCCAAGGAGGAGGTGGACACGCTCAGGTATGGCCTCCCAGCCCTGCCTGTCTCTGCTATTCACTCCCTTAGCCCCTGGGGTCCACTCAAGCCTCTCTCTCCTGCCTGTCTGGAAGGTTCTTTAAGTAGAATTTCCTCCACTTGGGCCACTCTGTCCTGTAGGGTCTGTGAGTCAGAATCGACTCCACGGCAGTGGGTTTGGGTTTTTTTGTTTGTTTGGGCTGCTGTCTGCAGAAAAGTTTGTCTTCACTGGTCCAGGGTTTCTCAGCATCATTTCCTAGGCCAGCGGTGACAGGCTCATGGGTTCCTCGCTGCTCAGAGCAGATCAGACATCAGTGTCACCGGCCACTGCTGGGATCTGCAGAACAGACAGCAGGGACCAGCCCCCTGCCTCCCGTGCCATCCCTGGAGGGAGCGAGGAGCTGTGGGCAGGGGTACAGTGGCCAGGTGCAGACCCCCCCACCTCTCAGAAGAGGGTCACACACGAAGCACAGCCAGACTGGATGCACTTCTGTCGTCATCCACACACCCTCCCTCCATCCACGTTTCAGGCCAGCATTTGTTGGTTTTCTCAGGCGTCTTCACGATTTCTCCTGCCCCTTATGCCCAGCACACCAGCCTTCCCCCCAGCCCTAACTTTCCGGAGCACCCCAGGCTGATGATAAAGACAGTTATTACAGTGTGAAGAGGACATGGCTTTTGAGTGGGGTCTTGGAGTCAGAATTGACTCGATGGTAACGGGTTTGGGCTTTTTAAAAAATTGTTTGGTTATCATTAAGGGATCTCTGGGTATCGCAAACAGTTAAGGTGCTCAGCTGCTAACCAAAAGGTTGGAGGTTTGAGTCCAGCCAGAGGCACCTCGGAAGAAAGGCCTAGAGATCTACTTCTGAAAAATCAGCCATTGAAAACCCTGTGGAGCCCGGTTCTGCTTTGACACATATGGGGTCTCTGTGAGTTGGGGTCCACTCGACAGCAGCTGGTTTGGGACTTTTTTTTTTTTTTTTTTTTTTTTTGGGATCACTAGACCCCCTTGGAAACCATATGGGGCGGTTCTGCTCTGTCCTCTGTGGTCACTATGGGTCGGAATCGACTCAACGGCAGTGGGTTTGGTTTTGATTTTTTGGGTCTCTTTGGGCACAGAGAAAGGGTGCTCCAGGCAGCTGGGAGCCCCTGCTACAGCAAGGGCAGCTCAGCAGTCCAGCTTTACTGTGTCCTTCTGAAAGCCAGGGCAGAGTCGTCGGGGGAGAAATGCCACCTATCTGTCTCCCGTGGTTCAGGGCCACCAGAGGCAAGGGGGGCTCTGGAAAGGGTGAGGCAGGGGTTGCTTGTGTGAGGGCCGGTTGAGGAGTGCTGTGACGTCAGGGGGTTGAGGCTGGTGACTTTGACCAGTTGCTGAAGGACCTGGGTGCTGTCTGGAACCTTGGGACCTGGGTCGTGTGAACAGGGAGCTGCAGCTGCTCGGAGGCAGCCTGGTTAGAGGTGAGCACTTCCTCCCTCCTCCCCAAAGCTTGTGTGCCAAGCCCCTCATCCTCCAGTTGTATCTGCCCAGGCTGGGACTGTGGAGTATCCTGCCGCAGAGCTGGGCCCACACCCAGCTCTCTAACCGCACCCAGCAGCCCTGCTTCTCGGCCTCCTTTCTCAGGGAGGAGTTCTTTCTGCTGGGTGCTCCATGTCTAACCCAACTCCTGATGACCCCATGTGACAAAATAGAACTGCTCCATAGTTTTCAAGTCTCTAATCTTTAAGGAAGCAGATCGCCAGGCCTTTTTTCCCGCCGTGCTGCTGGTGGATTTGAACCTCCAACCTTTAAGTTAGTAGCTGAGTCAAACCGTTTGTGCCACCCAGAGACCTCCTCTGTGTCTAGAGCCTTTCATTCTGTGCTGACAGAGCACAGCCTTGGGATGGTGCGGGCCACATACTGGCTAGGTTTATTTTTTTGGATTTTTTTTTTTTTTTAGTTTTAAAGGCTTTAATGTTGGTGGTTTTTACATCAAAGCTTCCTGTCCCCACCACCCAGTTTTGGAATGCAGCTGCGGAGAGATCCTTTGGGTCTAATTAATAGAAGTCGGGCCAATGTCTGTTTACACCGTGTCACTGGGAAAACGCAGCGGCGTCCTCAGCATTGCCCTCCCGCCAGCATTGTGGGAGAGGCACGCGGAGTGGCTGGGTCTGCTGCAGAAACTGGCCGGCCTTCCGGCCACTGGGCCCCTGCCCCACTTGGGTGTGGGATGACAGCTCTGCCAAGTAGGACTTGGTTCTGGCAGAATGGGAACCTACCAGGCTTATGGGAACAGGCATCTGAGGATGTCCAGTCACACTCAGGCCAGCCTGCTCCCTGTTCTCCTGCTCTCTGAAGATACTTTCTAGAAGGAAAACCCGTGAACACTTGGGACCCAGGCGCAGCTTTGGTCTCCCTCCCAGCCCACAGTCACAGGGCCCTTGAGAGAAGGAAGAAGACACAGATGGATAGAGAGGGAATTTAGGAAGTCTCCCTTTTTGGGTAAAAACTAATTCATCTTTTTAATCTACTTAATTTTCCTCCTTTCTCTGAGCGTGAAGTGCTCTTCTTGCAAATCTGTTACAAAATTCACTATGGAGCGTGTTCTGACGTGGTTGTTCAGAGGAAGACAGAGTGGACACTGATGGCTGGTCGTTCATCATGCCTGCCCTGAAGCAGCCTCCTCTCACCAGCCTCCCCTCACATGGGGGCTGGACAGGCCAGGCAGGAGAGGGGCTGGGGCGGGGGGAAGGGAAGAGAGGCCTGGTGGGGCATAGGGCAGGGCCTCACCCACAGGGCTTACCTGGGTACCCCCTCTTCCTAGAGGATGGGGGCAGGGGTAGGCCAGGCCTTTATGACATATGTATAAATGTTGTTCTTAGGTTCTGACATGTTGATTCCAACTCATAGTTACCCTATATGACAGAGTAGAACTGCCCCATAGGAGTTTCTATGCTGTAATCTTTACAGGAGCAGATCGCCAAGTCTTTCTTCCGTGGAGCCCCTGGGTGGATTCAAACCAGCAACCTTTCAATTAGCAGCCAGGCACTTAACCATTCTATACGTGTACATACGTAAACATGTTGTTGTCAGTTGCCATTGAGTCAGCTCCGACTTGTGGTGGCCCCATGTACAACAGAACAAAACACTGCCTGGTCCTGCCCAATCCTAACAGTCGCTGGTACACTTGAGTCCATTATTGCGGCCACTGTGTATTTTGAGTCCCTTCCAACCTAGGGAGCTCATCTTGCAGCACTATATCACACAGTTTTCTGTTGTGATACATAGGTTTTTCATTGGCTGATTTTCAGAAGTAGATTGCCAGGCCTTTATTCCTAATACACACATAAATATATATGTATCTGTTGTAGGTTTATTATATATGAATTATATATATACAGATACACATTTTTATGTATATATACACATAAAACAAACATATATTTGTTTTTACACATATACATATGTGTCTGTGTATATGTATGCATGTATGTATATATATGTATATGTATAAGTATATACATAGATAGATAGATATTTTTATATATGTATATAAAAGGAGCCCTGGTGGCACAGTGGTTAAGCGCTTGGCTGCTTACCGAAAGGTTGGTGCTTGTAACGCACCCAGTGGCTCCACAGGAGAAAGACCTGACAGTTTGCTCCTGTAAAGATTACAGCCTAGAAAACCCAGTGGGTCAGTTCTACTCTGTCACACGGGGTCACTATGAGTTGGAATTGACTCTACAGAAACTAACAACAACAATACATATGTATATATAGATATACGTATCTCTCTATATATACATTTATAGAACACTAGTGGTACAGAGGTTAAAGCACTCAGCAGCTAACTGAAAAGTTGGCAGTTTGAACCCACTAGGCTCTCCACGAAAGAAAGATGTGGCAGTCTGATTCTGTAAAGATTTACAGCCTTGGAAACCCCGTGTGATGGTTCTACTCTGTCCTCTAGGGTGGCTATGAGTTAGAGTGGACTCAATGACAATGGATTTAGTTTTTTGGTTTATATATATGTATGTATATATAGCATCACTTTTTTAACAAAGAAAAATAGGGAAAACTTCAGTCAAGGTTTAAGTGGCAGCAGCTAAAGGACCCTTTCAGCTGGAACAAATCTGGATCTTTCTTTTCTGCTGTCAAATAACAGCTCTAGCAAATCCTAAATGTTGTCTGTGGATTTAGCAACGGGGTGGTTTCAGTAATTTCCAAGAAGTGTGTGTTTGTGCCAACTCCTATTAGTCACATTGGCTGGAGTCTCACTCCCTCCCAGCGCTCCCCGGCTGCAGTCTGTGCCTCCCTGCCCCACGCAGGAGCGTCCCCCCATAACCCCACCTGGGATGGGGGAACCTTGTTGGGGAGCTGGGGACACCGTGCTCCAGAGGACTTGCGTGGCCACCTGCAGACCCCCACGCCCAGAGGATCCAGCTCTGGGCTCGGCCCTAATGTTCATCTCATCACATCCCGTGTTTGTGTCCAGAAGGCACCACCCCAGTGCCCGCCCAGCTTTCAGACCAGACATGTACTGAGACCTGGGGATAGCCCAAGGGGGTGGGCGCATTACACACCACCCCTTCCAGGCCAACCTGCAGCTCTCAGGCCGTGGAAAGCAAGGGCCAGCATCAAGCTGCTCTGTCCAGTACAAACCTGCTTCTTCAGCACTGCAGAGGCAGGGAGTGCAGAGTCCAGCTGCTGGGTCCATAGGAAGGCAGTGGCCACCAAGACACAGCCCCAAACGCTGCACGGCCAGGCTCCAGGGCTTTGCGGAGGGGCCGGGCTCTGGCTGTCCAGCCAGCAGGAGACACCTCTGTTTGACTGAGAGGCTAGGACCAAGCACAGGGGCCTCCACTGCCATCACACACCTGCCACCTCCAGCTTGGTCCAGAGTCTGGAGAAGTAGATGACAGCTACTCCCTCTCGTAGTGACCATAACAATTGCAGTAAAAGCTGTTGTTGTCATTGGGTGCCGTCGAGTCAATTCTGACTCATAACGACCTTGTAGGACAGAACTGCC